AAGAGAAAATTAGTCACTTAGCTATTAAAGGATCCAGAGAATGGCACTGAAATGGCTAGGCCAACACCACGGTCATAACATTAACAATACAGAAAGAGGTGGGGAAAAAAATGAAGTAATTTACCATTATGAGCGCTGTATCATTAAAGCCCTCTGCAATTCTGGAGGCCACCTTTTCCGCAACCTGGTTTGGACTGCAGCAGAAGGTAAAAGTAACTGTGTTATTTGAACCATGACATTTCAGCTGAAACCAGCAGGAAATATGCTTAAAGAGATGTGAAAATTACACTGCATGCTTACAAACAGGAACAAGATATCAAGCTGATGTTACACTTGATAGAAGTCAGAAGACCAAGAAAACCCCAGCTCCTCTCTTCAGCACACGATCTGGATCTTAGCTATGCTTAGGCAATGGGTTTTTGACCGGCAAAATGCTCACTGCAGACTGCATGTCATCAAAATCAACATTTTGTGGCCTCCTACCTTCTTCCACCAGACCAAAGACCGCAACCATCTTTGACCTGGCAGGCATTTAAAAAAGAAACCGAGTTTGCTCTCCAGTCTGCATTTGAACCCACTCACTGCCCAGCTTCTCTACCAAAAATCAGATACTCTGTTTCAAAGATGACAATTTTCTACGTGGTGCCAGTTATCTTCAGAAATGAAATCAGAGTTCAAAAACAAAAACCCAAGCCTGTGATGTTATTTCAAACCTCAAATAGAACAGACAAAGTGTATCTTCTCCTTAAAAATGTCTCCAGCAGATTTATTTCCCTTGTAAGGAATGGACAAATAACGCCTTTATCCCTGTCAGATACCTTAGCGGTCACAAGCATTACTTAAAAAATATACTTGAGACTGAAGGATGTACTTTATTTTGTTAAAGTACTATGCTCTGTCCCAGCTAAACACGCCGTTCGTGTTAATTTTAAATGCAAGTATGATGTACTCTCGTTAGTCCTGATACTGGATTTATCTAATAGATAAGGGCAAAATATTTGATACATATATCTAAAATTATATTGTGGCTCCACAGGAAGGCCCCCTTATTGCCTATTGAGTAATTTGAGTTAGCTAGCAGGGGAAAAAAATGACTAAACCTGGGGGAAATGAGTGAGAAAAGATCTCTCTGCCTGACTGACATCATCTTTCATTTCAAGAGCGTCCCTTTACCACGTAAGAAAATGCTTCAATAAAACTCGGAGACAATTAAGTAGTTTAGTAAGAATTAGGTCACTTCTGAAAGACTTTCCAAAAGATACTCGGAATCATTCGAGTTTATGAGATATGTACCGCACAAGCAAACACGCCTGCAAATTTTGGCTATTTCCCTGACAACTGTAATTAAACTGGTTGGCAGTCGTTCAAATACTGGCCTTTTATAGTATCCACTGAAGAGGAGTGATACTGGAAAGACTGGGGTTTCTGCACCTGAACAAAGGCCGTATCCACCAGCACCACGAAGACAATGTGAAACCAGATGACAGTTGTCAAAGTTAATCAACACGCACAATTTATGTCGATGATTTTTGTTGGCAGAGTACAAAGTACAACATAAAAGAGCAAACAGAAGGAAATATTGCACCAACACACCTGGCATCTTTCACGCGTTCATTTGCCTGGTAATATCCAGCTATCACGTAGCTATTCTCTTTGCACCAAGAGTCAATCTGAAAAAGCAATTGGAACAATTAAGCCCAGGAAAAAAACAGAAAAAACCCTACAGAACTAAGGAAATCGCGTGTCTGTCCTGCAAACAGAATGGCAAGTGAAGCATTACAATATCTTTGCCAATTGCTTCTTTAAATCTATACATATTTATATATTTTTATATGCGCACTCACACACGGAGTTTGGCTAATTTAACTAGAACAGAGAAACCAAATTGAACATTTGGAGAATGGTGGAAAACATTAACCAAATGGAGCAAAAGAGCAAGAAGTTATCTCAGTCAAAACCTGGCCTAAATTCGAAGGACACGACTCGTAAAGAGCTTCACAATGCTGCCTGGGAGAGGAGTCCAGGTCTCACCTCTCGCCATTTGTGGCTATTTGCTGTGGCTATTTTCTGTTAGCGTTCATTTGACGGAGAGACATTAGAAAACGTTCACCATGTGGAAGCGTGACTGTACGGTCACTTCGAGAAGAGCTTGCTGATCTTATTTCAAATATAACATTTCTAGGCTAAAGTGGAAGCATTTTTTTTAATCATAATTAGCAAATAAAGCTTGATGTAAAAGGTAAATGCAAGGCCGAAAAAGTTTGTCCCGTTTACCATTTTTTCCAACACGCTCCGTTACAAAAAGGCTTTTGTGATAAAATGGTTTTTCTTTCAGAGTTCACCCGCAAGGGTAACTAACCACTGGAGCAACTTATCAAGCAACATGGGTGGATTCTCCACTCTTTCAAATCTTTCAATCAAAACCGAACACTTTTCTAAAAATACTCTCCAGTTCAGCCACAAGATAAGGGTTTGATGAAAGAACTGTCGGTGTAAGTTCTCTCATCTCTGTTACAAAGTCAGACCAGGCAGCTCCTCCTTATTTAACACCTATATGTAAATACTGAAACATATGCATTTATTTGCATACTATTTACTCAACTTCTGAGTTACAGAAGTACAAAAGTTTATGTACTATTTTTTTTTTAATAAGCGCAGTTTCCGCATGCGCATGCTGCTGTTCTTTCTGCTTTCTGCTGGATCTGAATTCCTCCCGCTGAGTCTGTCTTGCTTTGAAAATACATATATATGATGTTTCTCCTTATAATTGAGGCTATCAAGTCAGCATAATACAGAGCCCTGAAAGACAGAAGTGGAGAAAGCAGCCAGAATTTTCCTTTGCAGTCCCTAAAGAGCATGCATCAAAAAAACCCTCAACAGCTATATTAAAATGGAGTCCAAAAATATATCTGATGCTGACCTGTCGCATCCTGTAAGTCAAATCTATCTCATTTTTAGCAATAATTATAGTATTAGACTGCATAAACAAACAAAAAAAGCCATGTGAATAATCCCTCCTCTACAAGGGATGACATGGATTTACGTGATTTTAAAAAAAAAAAAAAAAAAAAAAAAAAAAAAGCTGTGTAGCCCTGCTATAGCTGAAGGCCAACTGCTGTTTCAATTACAAACCCATTTTGAGGGCTTAGGACCAGGGTTTTAATTGTTAGTGGCTTGAAAGCTTGGCATTAAAGCCAGAAGCCCAGAAACTAAAATTAGTAATAATAAAAAAGTCCATCAATTTTAAAATTAAAAACCGTAGTACTAAATCAATTTTTGTTGCATACCAAAAACGGTCTTAAAAAATGAGAAAGTAGGATTTTTAAGTTCTCAGCTCCCCAAGTGGTAATTAAAAACTGCTTCTGTTAAAAAAAAAAAAGGTTAAAAAAAAATCTTTTTGGAATTAAAGCTGTTTCCACCTGCAATTTCCAAACACTCTCTAACCGCAGTACTGTCACCACAGGTAGCCTCAGCATCAATTAGCCCCTGATATTTTTAGTCACGTCCAGCCCTGACGAGGGCAAGCCAACGGGGGACAAATTGCGTCTTGCTTCCACACGGCGCGCGTCACCCCTGGAAAAATCAAAAGCGGCCTGCCCTCCGATCTGCTTGTGCCAGCACGTGAAGGCGGTGGCAGCGGGGTTTGGAAGAGCCCTGGGAGGAGAAAGGCTGCAACCGGCTGTGTCGTGGTTTAACCTCAGCCAGCACCCCAGCCCCACGCAGCCGCTCGCCCACCCCGCCGCCCCCATGGGGTGGGGGGG